GAGGGAAAGCAAGTGTCTGAGTAAAGCACGAAGTACATAATCCTGCAAATACTGAGAAGTAAATGTTCTGCAATATTACTCATTTAAACATCCCCATGAGGACATCTGGCAAACACGGGTGATGTGCCAGGCACTGTGCAAGGCACCAGGGGTAAAAGGACAAATCCTACCCTGAAGGGTCTAAAAGTCTCCCGAGGGAGAGGGGGGCTCTACTACAGTGCCTCACACAGTCCATGGGACAGAGGGACGCGAGCGGTGGAAACGCACAGCAGACACTGCGCTGGCTGCCAGGGGTGAGGAAGGACACAGGAGGACAAATCGAGACGGAGGCATTGAGGCCGGGTCTTCAGGAATAGGAAACATCGAGGAAACCTTTCAGTCCAGGTTTTCACATGGAAAGTACGATTGTGTTTCTCCTTAGCCGACACAGGCATGTAGGATGACTCTGTAGTTCAAAGAACCACTTATTAAGACTTTTTAAAGAACCACTTATTAAGAAACGAGAACCATTTATTAAGAAATATGAGGCCATTGGAGCCGTCGTGTGGCATGGTGGTTCAAAGTGCTGGACTCCCCAATGGCCGACCACAGTTTGAGTCCTAGACCTGGCGGCTTGCTTTCTCATTTTCCCTCTCTCTCTCTGTCTGTCTCTCTCTGGTCAAATTAAAATAATAAAAATAAATGAAGTTAAATAAAATAACTTTAAAAAAGAAATATGAGGCCATTAAAAAATAAGAATAGTTTTCATCTGGAAAGCTTTTCCTTCTCTCTCTCTCTCTCTCTCTCTCTCTCTCTCTCTCTCATCTCGAGTCCAGCATTTTATTGAACATATTACAAAATAGATGTAGTCAAAAAGACCAAAGCCCATGTCATCATCCGATTCTCCAGATTCTTCTTTCTTCGCTCACTTTCTGCTCTTCAGCTGGGCGGCAACAGCCCCGCCAGCTGCTGGTGCAGGTCCACCTGCCCCTACGTTGCAGACGAGGTTCCCGATGTTGACACTGGCCAGGGCCCTCGCTAACAAGTCAGGCCGAAAAGGTTCCGCATTTATACCAGCTGCTTTAACGAGGGTACTGATCTTATCCTCCGTGACGGTCACCTTGTCGTCGTGCAGGATGAGGGCCGAGTAGATGCAGGCGAGCTCAGAAACGGAGGCCATGGTGAGGACCCGCGCGGAGCGGGCGCTGCCGGACGCGGTGCTAGTCCCCAGATGAAGCGAGGGCCTCACCCCAACGCAGCCTGGCTGCAGCTGCTGAACAAACAACCCTTCTTTTCTTTCTTTTTCTTTCTTTCTCTTCTCTCTCTCTCTCTCTCTCTCTTTCTTTCTTTCTTTCTTTCTTTCTTTCTTTCTTTCTTTCTTTTTTTTTAAAGAGAAAGAGAGATGGGATAGTCCTGTTTCTTACCACCAAAAAAATGTTATCTTCTCTGTGGGTCTTACGGTGAAACCACTGAGGTGCTCATATAATGAAAGATCACCCAACAGAAGAACTACACTTCTGTAAGCCCACAGCCATCTGCTTAATGAACTGTGCTGTCAGGTAAAAGCAAGGTTTTGCAGCAGGGGGAAGCATAAGGCAGACCGATGTGTACTGATACAGAAAGATACACTGTTAAAGGGGGAAAAACGAGTTTCAGAAGACTGGATACTGGTGCTATTATTGTTGTCAGGATTTGTATAGAAAGATTCAGGAGAATAAATGCAGACATAACAATCCTTATCTCTGAGATGTGGGATTATGAGGCACTTAATTTTCTGTGTCCTACATTTTGGTACTATTTTCATTGTTTACAACAATTGTGTATTGGCCCCACCATGGCAGCATGGTGGTTGACACTGCCACTTGGCAGGCTGAGGTCACATGGGAGGCCCTGGTTTGATTCCCGGCCCTCCCTAAAAGCCAGATGTGCCCATGTATAGTCCTAGCTACCTGGGAGGCTGAGGCAGGAGGATTGAGACATAGCAAGTCTATCAAAAAACCAACAAAACAGGGAACCAGCAGTTAGCGTAATGGCTATGTCACTGGACTCCCACGTAGTTGACCGCGGTTCGCGTCCCGGACCCGGTGGCTTAAAACTCACGCCGGGCGCATGTGCGTGTGTGCCCAAGATCCCGAGAGGAGAATAGAGGAGAAGGGATTGCGGCATGACCATCCCCCCTGGGGGGTGATTTCTCGCTTTCTGTCTCTCTGTCTGTCTGGCGAGCGCACGCCCCCTATAGTGAAAAAACCTCTCCAAAAAAAAAAAAAGAAACCAACGAAACAAAAAGAACACATCTGTAGTTTTTCAGATTAAAAGGCTGTTTAGGAGCCAGAGGGTGATGGGAAGGTAAACCATGGTGCTCTGAGACAATCCCACATGAAAAGGTTCCTGGTTCAAGCCTGGAGATCTCCCTGAGATTGCCAGACACCTACAGGCTGATCAGGGCTAGATACAGGTTAGGGGCACATCACAGCATCAAGACCCTGGTGGGGACGCTGTCTCTCTCGTCTCATCTCTCTTACTCATAGAAGGAATAAGCAAACTTTTAAATAATAGTAACAGTAAATTAAAATGTCTAATGTTCTAATTTGTTTTATGGTGCTTAAGAACTTGTGATTGGCTGTACTTTTCTGAAAGAGAAGTAGAATGAAGAGAGGCTTTTCCTAAATTTTATAATTTGTCAACACTTACAGGAAAAACTAAACAGATCTAAAGATAATGTAGTCTTTTTCATGCCATGGCTTCTAGACTAGTACTTAGCTCCATAATGATCAAGTCAGTGCTGATGAATAAGTAAGAGAGGGACCAGCAGTTAGCGTTAATGGCTATGTTGCTGAACTCCCATGTAGTCAACTGTGGTTCAAGTCCTGGACCTGGTGGCTTAAACTCACACC